GTGCACATTGGTTCATTTTAAGAATCATAGAAAACATTTCCATTATTTCAGCTTGTCTATCTCAGTTCTCTAAGCATCTAAAGAAAAACATAGTTTCATTCTCTTCAAGATCGTTCTAATATTTTGTTCATTTTCCACTTCCTTTCTCAGTTTGGACAATTGTCAGATATCCAGAATTAGTGATATTTTAATGTGAGAATGGGAAAGATGGGCTTCAACTATATGGGCAAAGAGCTATTTAATAAATTATATATATATAATTATATATAATTTAAGTAATTCTTAAATTTCTTTTTGGCAATCATCTCACAAGTTCTAAGTTGTATATTTTATTAACTATTAAAGTGAAGAACCCATCTAGATTCTTTTCAGATAACTTTAAAAAGTTTCCCTTTCCCTCATCATACAAAAAAACTATAGGAAGTTGTTAGGTAGTGTGTAGTCTTTTAAAGTTTCCTACTGATTAAACTTAATCCTCATTAATTAATAAGCATACACTTTGTTGATTAATCTATCAATTAAACATACTATGCTTCATTTCTGTATCTAAATATTTGGCACATGCTTCACGAATCTTTCAGCAGTAATTATCCAAATTCCACATAAAACTATACAATGTAACCCATCCATTTCAAATATGTATTTTATTGCTGCTTTTTACACGATTGCATTCTAGATTCAGCCATGTCAAAACACTTCTGGGGAGAAAAGCATTATAGAAGTAAAGTAAACTGATAATTGTATTGCAAATTAACTATTATGATTGTAATAACCCACACTACCAAACATATCAATAGCTTTAGTTTAGTTTAGAGGTCCAATAATTGTTTCTTAATATTTGCATGTTGAAAAAAATCATTTTGGTAATATCACAATATATATTTTATTTCTTCTAAAAGGAGTTTAATTTCCATAGAGCCATTAAAGAGCAAAAATATATACTATTAAAGATTGGAATAAAATGTTAAGTATTCATGTTTCTTATTTATTGTTTTAAAGCATCAAAGTATAATATAAAAATAAGGGTAGTGAATCTTTATGAAACTGTGTGTTATTTGTTTTCATTAATATGTTTTATTGACTTCAAATTTAGAATGCAAACTTTATTCAAATGGGTAGTTTAAGTAAAAATGATTCCATACCTTTACTTGTATCTGCACTCGGTATACACTGTATTTTGCTACCAAATAAATGTCTGTTGTCTTTCTTTTACACAATTAGAATCACTAGAACTTATGTTGATTCTGAGATACCATGTAACATAGAATCCATTTCATGGATTGCAAATTGATAACAAAATATAATTATGCAAGGAAAGGTTTTCATTTTTTGTGGCCTAATGAAGTTTGTGATATTGTACATAATTATAAATGCAAATTATGATTCTAATAACGATTCATGTTGTAAAGGTTTCTTTAAGACAAGGTTTGCCAGTATGGTTCAGTTGGTATTTGAAGTATGGTCATCTGCATCTAAACGAGTAGCTCCAAGACAATCAGATTATGTAGTAGTTACTTTGGTGAGAATATCGCGTAAGTGGAATGGAAACTTCATTTTGAGTCTAATATTAGACCTTGCTTTGGAAAATTCCTTTTAAATGATCACAAGCTGGGAATAGCAAAAGAATTTAACTTTCAACAGACAGCATTCTCAAAGAATTTGCTTATGTTAGGTCCCTGGGAAAGCAGATGTGAAGTTTAGTGAACTGAATTATTTTGACCTGATGCAGAATTTATGTCAATTATTAAGGTCTTCTCTCTGATCTACTGTTTCCAGAATATCTTTAAACATCCATTTGCTTGAATAGGATATTTTGATTGCTCGTTCAATAAGCCTAAGATATTTGAACCAAATTCTTACTTATAAAAATGTCTTTTTCCCTTGCATCTACCATTTAGTAATGTAACATCTAGAATAGATATTAAAGAGTGAGTGTCTGAATTCAGCTATTTTTTAAATTGTGGATAAGTGTGCTGTTGTTAGTTAATAAGCACCTAAAGGAATACTTTAATATTATTAGTCAGAACATCAGTTAGTTTATAGATAGCCCTCATTTGCCAACAACTTGTTCAGTGAACTTATAATGATGCTGAAAGTAGAGACAATTGGCCCTCAAAGTTGTGGTAAACACCATGTCTCAACAGTCCTGTAATCACAATTTGGAAACCTGCAACCAGCGCATGTGATATGGTGCTTAACAATCCATAGTGATTCATGACCACAGTCAGATCTGCTGCAATTGAGGTTCAAGTAAATTGGTGCAGTCATGCTTAACTACTACAATAATTAGCAATTGAGTGACCGGTCCTAATTCCAGTCAGTAAATGAGGATTACCACTATTGTTCTTTGAGGTATTGGCATAATATGTAGAATTAATTGGGCTCCATTATGTTTCTATAAATAAGAACTGTCAAAAAACAGAGTTTTGTTGGGATGTAATAAGAACCATATAAATATGACTGTGTGACAAAAGGTAAAATTTTCAGATGTTAATATCTCTTTTTGTATAATTTTTTTAATTAAAACTTTTGAACAAGAAGAAAAAAACTAACAGAGACCAAGATAAAGTAGGGGGAGAAAAATAAAGGGAAAAATGCAAAAAAAGAGAGAGAGAAATGAAAAATAGAAAAGAAAGAAAAAGATATGAAGAAGTAGCTTCCAATATTATTCACAGCAGTTATATGTATTTAGTAAATATATTTAGCCTGTCTCCAAAGTTATCTCATTCTTCTTCTTTCTATATCCTGTGTAATAATCGAAATATAAGTCATTTTTGGTTCTTTTTTTTCATTTTTACACAAAAATTCTGTAAAAGGCTTTCAGTCACCAATAAATGTAGATAATGTTTTTTTAATCGCACAAGTTAATTTATCTATTTCAGCAAGAACTATTGTCTTCACCAACCATTTCTTCATAATGAGTAGTGTCAAGTCTTTCCAAATCTATGCCTATGGTAATCTTGCTGCAATAATAATTTATTGAAATGATCTTCCATACTCCATAATATTTTCTTGAACTACATACCAGTACATGAAATTTGACAGCTAAAATAACATAAATGGATTTTCCATGCCTTTACTATGGCCAAAAGGTTGTTACAGATACAGATAATATTTCATTTACAATCATTAATTAGTGGTTCAAAGACTGTTCAAAAAGTTACAACAGCACTGAAAAAAGTGACTCTCAACCAGTCCTTACAATTACAATTGTTGCAGTATCCTCACGGTTACATAATCAAAATTTGGCTGTTTGGTAGCTGTCATATATTTACAATGGATGCAGAATTCTGGGGTCATTGCGACAATGCCAGCCAACTTCTGACAAGCAAAGCAGAGGTGGTATTCAGTAAGTTCTGACCAGTTCTGGAGAACCGGTAGTGGAAATTTTGAGTAGTTCAGAGAACCAGCAAATACCAGCTCTGACCGGAGGTTTTACAGTATCCTTCCCCTGCCACGCCCACCAAGCCACGCCCACAGAACCGTTAGTAAAAAATTTTGAATCCCACCACTTGGGAAAAAACAGATTCACTTAATTATTGCATGTTTCAATAATTCACTTAGCAACCATGGCAAAGAAGGTTGTAACAACGGAAATTAGCAACAGAAATTCTTGTCCCAGTTGTTGTAAGTCAAGAATTATGTCTAGTGCAATATTGGAAACATAAATGTATGGCCGCATTCAATCAGTGGATTGAAGTTGTGATTACATTTACCACCTTTGGACAGATGGCCAATACAGGTAGACTTTGTACAGTCAAATATAATGAAACTTGGAACTCATTTATACAAAATACAATAGGTTAAAAATGAATAATAGGATTGTATAAATATATTAGAAATTAATAAGTACAATCAAACATGCTTGAGAATGTCATATTTAATCTTCAGCCATTTGCTCTTGACAAAATGCAGTCTTTACCTGCCATTCAGTAAAAAATTGTTTTGATTCTCTAAAATCTCAAATGATCAAATTCAACTGTTTCTAGTATAGCACACAATATGTATAGCACACAATAATTAGTAATTTAAATGTGAAATATTTTCCTGAGGAGAGGGCAATGGATGAAAGCAATTTTAAATTTATTTAAAATTTAAATAATATGCATACATAATGCATATTATGATATAATTATGCATACATAATTTAGTACAAACTAGATTTTGGGTCATAGAGATTTCTTGGAAGATAGTGTGTTATTTATTTGTTTGTTTGAATTTATATGACCACCTACTTGCTGCCAGTGACTCTGGGTGGCTGATAAAAAATATTAATCTCTGATGTTTAAAATTTCTATTTTAATATAAAGCCTTGTTCCTGCTTTGTTGTTTGGATATTGCTTTAATTGAATTTATGCTGGTTGGACTTGTTTTGTTTAATATCTTTTATATATTTTGGACACAAAAAAATCATATTTGTTGCATTTGATATGATAATGGTGATAATCTTTGTGAAGTGGTTAAAGATGTTAGGAATATCATCTGTTCCTTGTTAGGAGACTTAATGTTCTACAAGGTGAAAAACCTTAATAGGATTAGATAATTTGTGGACCTCCCTCCCCCCATTTTGTGATTCCCAGAGCACTTCCAGGTTATACTCCCATAATTTAGCAAAATTACTAATCTATAGCAGTGTGGCTTTTCCTTTTTGCTGCTTTAAAAGTAATATAAATAATATGTCCATTTTGCTCCTTATTTCCCTATCCAAGCTTCTCAAACAAAACATTGAAAAATAGACTCCAACTACCTAATTAATGTCCATACTCAAGTAACCCTACTTCCTATGGTACGCAATGAGAAAAAAACGTCTCTAGTTATGATTGCCTCTAAAAATGTTTGGTAAACTTTTAGGTAGGTTTTTGTTTTTGATGTTTTTTAAGCATCAGGTGTCCCTTAAATTATATGTTGTTGCATTATAAGATTCATCTGTGCCATTTTGGAACTGACCAGTCAGTCCTTTTGCTCTAAATTCTAATTTCTTGGTCTACTACTTTGTGCAGGTAAATCTCACTTGGCAATTGTGCAGCGGGTGAATAATGAAGGGGAAGGGGATCCTTTTTATGAAGTCTTGGGCATTGTTACCTTGGAAGATGTAATTGAAGAGATCATCAAGTCTGAGATTCTAGATGAAACAGATCTCTACAGTGAGTATTAAGCACCACAGTGTTTGCCCTCAGAATTATATAAAGGCCTTATAATAAAGTTTTCTGTCTTTTTATTTTTTGAGGGAAATTACACTTTGAGGAGAATTAAATATGAACGAAAATTGAAAGCCTAGCTCAATTTAAAATGCATGTGACTGCCTCTGTATTGTAACAAAAAAAGAGACTCTTATCACTAAGACAGCTATTTTAGAAGATAAAGGTCAAATTTTTCACCATGTGATCAATTTTAAAGCCTTTAACTTAGCCAGATGCTTTAAAATGATCTGATGCTTTTATTCAACTATCATTCTCATTGTCTTCTATACATGGTATTTGAGAGTGTAAGAATAGTATCACGCATTAGGTAGCTGCGTGTCTTGGATTAGCCCTTAGCAGCACTGTGTATGTCTTCTCTGAAAATGTCAGAAAATTTTTATTACCTCAGTGCATGGTTTGTTACCTCATGTGCCATCACTGCAGTTTGTTGTGGAAAAGAGGCAGACAGTTGTGAAAAAATAATGTAGATTGGACCACAGGCATTTTGGAAGATGAACATGTATTTTTGTTATGCTGTCATATCTGATCGAGCATATTTTCAGATGCTGAACAAATGCAAATTCAGAGGCTGAATCCTAACAACACAGAGCCTCAGTTGGGAAAATGTGGTTCTTCAATATGTGACTTTGGTTTATCATCATTGGAGGCCCAAATGAGTTCTATGACCTAGAACAGGGGTGTCCAACCTTGGCAACTTTAAGACTTGTGGACTTCAACTCCCAGAGTTCCTCAGCCAGTTTTGCTGGCTGAGGAACTCTGGGAGTTGAAGTCCACAGGTCTTAAAGTTGCCAAGGTTGGACACCTCTGACCTAGAACATTTGTTAGTATACCAGCTATAACTTTTCCTGGACAGGGGTATCTTCCATTAATGAGTTTTCTTCCATTAATGGGTTTGATATGGTTCGATCCTCAAGCTGTAGCTAGAGATCCAGGAAGCAGCCAAGTTCCTGAAGGAATATCTATACATATTCTGCTACTGCTGAAATAACTGCTGTGACTGCCTATTAGTTTGCAAATAAACTTCACAGTATATAACTTCCTAAATAGTTTGAGAACAGGTCACCGATCAGGTCACCTTTGGAGATGTAACCTTATGCAGTCAATTAAGGAGTTCCTAGTGTTTCTGAAGTGATCTATAGACTACAATTTTCTGAGACCTCTGTGCTATCCTTTCTTTAGGACATTTTTTACTCTACTACTCAAGTTTGCTCACTGTGATATATCTTAATCTCCTATTAAAATCTCTTTACCTATACCTTTTCTACATGAATCCTGTTCATTTTTGTTTGTTTTACCAGATCTATATAGCTGCCCATCTCTCACAAGGTGACTCTGGGCATTGTGCCTCAAAACCACTGGTTTACACATATACCAACTAAATTAATTATTTAATTTGTTAAAATTGTTTTGTTAAAAACAATTATTTAAAAAGGAGATTGCAAGAAGGTCAAAATCAGAATGTTAAGTACGATGTAGCCACTGTACAGACTCCCTGCTGTCAGGGAAGCCCCAGGCCTGATGCAAAAGCATGTGTTAAGACTTTCAGGATGACTATAAGGGTTCGGGATAAATTCAGGGCAAATAATATTGCAAAGGGCAGGTGCTATGGCAGAAAATACTTTTTTTCTAGGTCCCATCAGACATAATTTTTTTAATGGATGGGTCCTACAGCATGACTCTCCTGCCAGACTTGATGGGATGGCTAAATGTAATCAAGGAGAGGCAGTCCCTCAGATAACATGGGCTGATGTCATGTAGGGCTTTGAAGATCAAAACTAGCACCCTGAATTGTGCCAGGAGACAAATTGGTAACCAATGCAAACTCACAGACTAAAGGTGTAATGTGTCTTTCTAGAGACATATATAATTGCCCATGCCATTGCAGCTAGAGCTTCTGGATGCTCTTCAAAGGCAGCAGCATTGTACTAATCCTTTTAGAAGATGACCATGGAGTGAGTAATTGTGGGCAGAACCTCATGATCCAAGAACAGGTGCAAGCGGCGCACAGTACAAATTGTACAAAGGCCCTCCTGATGTATGGAATGTGTAAATGACCTTGAGGGTGGGGAAAGGAAGAGATCTACCTAGGAAACAGACAAGAGATGTAAGAGACCCAATGGCTTAACTATTAGGAAAAGAAACTTAGAAAGGATCCTTCCTGATGGATCAATCAGTTAAAAGTGACAAGAGGAAGTTTGTACCTTCAGGTTTGCAAGATTCTCTTTTTAATGTAATAAATATTAAAAAATAAATACATTTTAAAATAAAATTAGTTCATCTAATCCTGTTTCCTGTTTGGTTTAGGGAACTGTTTCCATAATGTCTTTATGTGGGGATCAGAATAGGGTCCTTCCTTTTTCAGCTTCCTTCACAAGTCCTATGGAATCATGAGAGTTGAGGAATTCTCTAGTGAGTTTAAGGAGAAGAGCTGAGGAAGAAGAAGTCTGTTTCTCAGACAAACTTTAGCTGATATTGGATACCACCCAGTACTTATTTTATGAAAAGGATTGTTACATTATTTTCTACATGAAAAATAGCCAACAGTTTCATCTGACCCTGTAACTCGATTAAAATTAATGCAGTTCTCCTATTAGTATAAAACGTGTTGGTACAAGAAAAACAAAAATGCCAATATTTTGTCTTATCACTATTCAAAGGAATGTTGGATTATTTTCTGCCCATTATCTCTTTTCCTCATTGTTGTCATTATTTGTAAAGCCAGGAACACTTCCTCAGTGCCATAATTTATGGCTCACTGCCATAATTTTTAATGCAGAAAAGCAGCAGTGGGAACACTCATGCTAGCCTAATGAAGACAGATCTTACATTAATGTACTCAGTAGCTTGCTTTGATGAAGATAAAGACTTTTATCAAAAGTTACCAGATACCACAAACTTTTAATTAGATCGGTGGAATTTCTCAGAAGTTTGTGAACGTCTATTTGTGTATATAATAACAGCTTATAATAACTGTGTACCAATGTTAAAAATGGAATCATAAGGTAAACACTGGAACAAAATATAATGAATATTTTATTTGTTTTATCTCTAGCTGATAACAAGACCAAAAAGAAAGTAGCCCATCGGGAGAGAAAACAGGATTTCTCTGCCTTCAAACAGACAGATAGTGAAATGAAGGTTAAAATCTCACCACAATTGCTTTTGGCAATGCACCGTTTCCTAGCAACAGGCAAGTGTGAATTATTAAAGTTCTTATCACATTAGGATCTAACTGCTAGATTGTTAACAGAATCAATGAAACAGTGGATGGGGTAGGGAAGCTGTATTAGGGAATTGTATACTGTGTCTCCTTGTTCATTATATTCTCTTCTACTTTATACTCAGTGCTGATAGAAATTCTGAGAGTTTAAGAGAAATTGTGTTAGTACAACTTAAAATTTTTCGAGGAGGCCAGGGTAAGGAGCAGCATCACATTGATTTGATCAGGCTCAAACTGAACTGGATACCACTAGAAAAACCATGTAAATTTCTTTGCCTTTCATTTAATTAAACATAGTTGCTGAAATGAAGCAAATGTGTAGGGGGACTGAATCCTGTCTAGTTTCAATTCAAGATAAACCTTCCCCTTTTTTCTCCCTCCGTTCTCCCCAGTTTTTTTCTCTCTTTTGTATGTGTGCCTTTTTCCTTTTGGGAGGAAAAATATTTTAGGCCCAATTTCCAGAGGTAGAGTAGCCAGCAAAAATGGAAGAAAGATGTCTTCTTTAATTGGTTCCTCCACTTCTGGTCTCTCTTTATGAATATTAGACTACCTGCAGTCTAATATTGCCCAAATGGGTTGATAAATTCTTGAGCAGTCTGAGCAGTGACATGGACATGGTTGGTGTCCATGGCACAGGACAGAGGTAATCACTTAACAGAGATGTGTTGCCCTGAGACATTTGCCATCCCACTTTTGTATTTATTTTAATAACATGCTAATCAATATATTATGTCTTAATAAACTTACTATACATTATCAATCAAGTTGTTTTTTGTGTTTGCAGAGGTTGAAGCATTTGGCCCATCCCAAATGTCTGAAAAGATCCTCCTGAGGTTACTAAAGCATCCCAATGTGATTCAGGAGCTGAAGTATGATGAGAAAAACAAGAAAGCCCCTGAATACTACCTCTATCAGCGAAACAAACCTATTGATTACTTCATTCTAATTTTACAGGTCAGACCTATAATTATAAACATTTGTTTCTCCTGCAACTCTCCTCTGATCAGCATGGCTATTCAGTGACAGTCTCTAATGACAGAAGGGTCGTCATAATTCCTGGATTACCTTGTTACTTGTTTTGCCTCCATTATGCAACCTAAGATTTGGTTAAGCAAGATACCATTCACCCTAATAGCGAATGAATGGCTTTAAAAAAATAAATGGCAGCTTCGGAGGTGTTGCCAAAAGATCCATTGGTAAGAGTAGGAGCTCTTTTTTCAGTGGGAGGATGGAGCTGCGCTAGTTTAAAATAGCAAGAAAAGGGCAAAAGTCAAGACAACAGTTCCTCCTTCCATAGTTCCAGTCTGAGTCACTTTTTAAAGAAAGACTTCAATCGATGCCATCTTATTTAATGGAAAATTGAGCCTTCCACTTATTGAAACAATTTGATTTTCAGTAAAAAAATGATGTTTCTATTAAAATTTTGGGGATTTCTGATTAAAACTGGGCCTTGTATTCAGGAGTAGAAAATACATTTAAAAAAAAAACATAATTACATTGATAAATGTTGGCTCTCTCTGGTAAACTAGACAGGAAATATGACAAAATGAACTAATTTACTTTATTGTAAGGCTACATTAATAGAAACTTGCAAGTCTGAAGACACAAATTTCACTACTTGGTCCATTAAAGTGGGTCTTTCTTAAGTTTCTCTGACATAAAGCGACTGCAGGCTCCTGCTTCTCTTGTCTGATTGCTTCCTAGGCAGCATCTCCTCCTCTTTTCCCCCAAGATCTTTCATACATTCCATTACAATAAAGCATGAGATGAAAGAAAAAGGCACAATCTGAAAATGACCGAAGAAATTGCTGTTGACCCTTTTGAAGAAAAGGTGAAAATATTAGCCTGTATAAAACCAGGGCCATGTATTACATTCTTATTCAGTTATTCAATGTATTGATCACCATACAATATTAGATATACTCCTAATTAATATTAACTATTTTTAATGAACCATTAAAATCATCCAATTAATTACATAATTTAAGTCCTTGTAAATGTTTTCAAGTCACCATTTCCATTGCTCATTACGTTGGCTAAGGATACTGAGAATTGTAAGTAAGGAACATCTGGAAGGTAATGTTATCTGAGTTTTGGTTTTTGGCATCATCAAAATAGAGTGAAGACCAAATTATTTTAAAGTGGTGGGAACAGATTGGAAACAATTAAACAGCAAATAAACTTGAAAATCACACTTCTTCCCAAAAGTAAATATTTTTAAGTCAATAACCAGAACAGATGACATTTTGATGCAATCCTAGTATGCATATTATTAACTTGGGGCATTATTTTATGGGTAATCTGTAATATGAATTGGACTAATCTTAGTTTTGCCTAATAAACTAAACAATTATGTATACTGTAGAAGCAAACAGCACCACCTACCGGTTTGCTTTTAAAACAAATGAAGATACACACAAAAAACACAAGCAATTTTGTGGTCTTTAGATCTGGTATTTGACAGTACTATTTAGATTAATGCATTACTTTGATGTTTTTAAATAAAACTGAAATCTTCTACAGTATTTCCACTTAGCTATTATGGTTTTGATATTCTTGCAAATCAATTCACAAGGTAGTCTGAATGTTTGTTAGGAACAATATCTTCTTCATTGATAAAAATAATTCGATTTGCACAAATTTGTTTACCTCAGATACCTATGCAGATGTTATTTTTAGAGAGAAAAACAAACTGAATTCCGGAGCCTTTCTCTGATGGCCCAAAATAGCATGAAGAGTCATTAAGTCCTGAAGGAAATTTGAAATATGCTCGAGATATGGTTTAATATATTTTATATTTTAACTGCAGTTTTACTTGTTTTTTATGAGGTATTTTAAAAAGCCTTTAAAATTAGTCATGAAGAAAAAATGTTGCATATCTGATCTTATTGAGCTTGTTTAATAATATATATTACTTTTTATTTAAAAAGTATTTCTGTATACTTAGAGTATTTTCATTTTACTTCTTTTGTATATTGAATGTACATGTTATAAAATTCAAACAGACTTTTTTTCCAAGAGTTGTAATTTATATGATAGATAAAATACATAGTAGAAAATTATAGTAAATATTAGAAACTCCTTTGCTCAACACAAACACTGTGATTTGTTTTATACTAAAAACTAGTAGAAGAATCTTCTATTCTTGAAAAAAAGTCCAATGTTTCTAGTTCCACTGCCTAGCATGCAACCCCACACAGAGAAATAAACTTATCAATTTTGGATAACAGTTTATGCATTTTATGTAGTCAGTGAAAGCCTGTGCCACAACATATACAGTATATTGCATAAACTTTCTTATATAATTAGGTGCTAAGAATGATCCCACCTAATGAATGTTTAAGCAAAAGCATTTTAATCATATTGATAATATAGTTGTTTTCTTGGCCTCTATGATCAGGATCATAATCTATTCTTGAGTCATTTAAAGTCACCTCTAGCTTTGAATGAATGAATTCATTGTTATAGCCAAAGGCCTACAAGAAATAAAGTCCAGACAGTAATCCAATACTGAGTTACATAATGAATAAAACAGTGTGAAACAAACAGATTGTAAGATAAAAGCAATAGGGAATAAGTGCTATAGCTGGAGAGGGAACTGGTTTTGATAGAATACTCTTACTATTTATTGCTGTACTCTACATGATGCCTATAGAATTTGGCTGTGTATAAGATTGAGGAATTAATCTGGGTGCCCTTGAAGGTTTACTAAATGGAGCATAATTAATATTAGAATTAATATTTAGAGTTAATATTATTTTATTTATTTAATTAAAACGTTTATATGGCCACCCATTTTAAGCAGTTCTGCATGGCTCACAATAACCATAAAACCACTTAATAAAACAATAATAAAAATAATAAAAACTGTAAAACAATAAAAACCCTAAGCCATAATTGTACCCCTTGAAATGTCCCCCTTGAGATGCCTCACAGCAGAGTCAACTATAGTATTTCCATAACTTCTATGCACACAATGTCAGCACCTCAATAAAAAGTGAAGTTTTAATGATCTTCTAGAAGACTAGAATGGTGGGGTCTGTCAAATTACCAGTGGGATGGTAGGAGCAGCCAAAAAGACAGGTTTCCAAGACATGCTTCCAAGACCTCACAAGATTTCAGGGAGGGGACCTTGAGTATGCCCACCCTATCTGATCTAGTGGGTGTATATTCTTAGAGAGAGGCAGCCCCACAAATAATCAGGTATCATGGCCTGTAGGGCTTTAAGGGTGATAACCCATTTAAATGACTCCTGTGATCTGCTGTCACTGGGGCGGGTGGAGGGAGGATAATTTTATTATGATTTTATTATTATATTAATTTATTTGATTTTTAATTAGTTTTATGGTTTTAAATGTGGTTTTTATATTCTGTAAGCCGCCTTGAGTCATCATGGGTGAATAAGCTGCAATATAAATTTAATAAGTAAATAAATAACCATCATCTTGAATTACACCTGGGAGAAATCAGGGAACCAGTATGGCTCATACAATGAAGTTATAACATAGGTGAGCCTGTGGGTGCCGCTGTGTTCTGGGTTAGTTGTAACTTCCAAGTGGACTTTAAGGGCAGATTTAGAGCTTTATAATAATGCAACCATGAGATAACTATTACGTGAGCGATTGTGGTCCAGAAAAGAGTGCTATTGCTGTACAAAACAAATCTGTACAAAGCCTCTTGCCATGGCTATATCTGATCTATAGGAGCAGTGAATCCAGGAATCCCCATCTCCACCCCTAATTGCAATCCACTTAGTCCAGGGAAATGCAATACCATCCCTAGTCAAAGATGACAAGTCACCATTCCCTGGTGGGTCAAACACCCAATGCAAATCTGGCAAAATTAGTCTGGGTTGAGTTGAAATCCCCATCCAGACCTCCATAGCCTCCAGGCTCTCAGAAACACTGCAACAGCATCACTTGCCCAGCCCCAGTAGAGATGTATAACTTAACCTCATTATATATTATACAGCATTGTATGAAAACATTTCATTTGTATCAAGTGTCCTTGAGTCAAAAGAACAGGTACAAACTTTTATTGGCTCACTGTAAATCTGCCTTCCAGCAGAGCAGAAGAGCAAATGTGAAGTCAAGCTTGAGAAAAGGCTTTGTGATGATTTGGGAGTTTCAAGTTGGCAAGATTCCATTTCTGAGATGTAATATTAAAGACTAAGGCTAACTCATTTGCCATTCAGCATTCAGAACTTATTGTTCAAAAAGTACCCCTATAGCTAACGTTCTCAGGAAAAGCCAATAATTTAGACTCTGACTTGAAGATTTTTAATGGTGCTCAAAATTGGTTTTATAACTCAAAAAGGATTTTACCTTCCTCTACTGAGTCTATTTTTCTCTCATTTGCTAGATCTAGTCATTGTTTTATTACCTCATATCAAAATGTAAAGGAAATAACTTACAGTATAAATCCTTCTTAAGATTTTTTTGATCAGTTGAAGGGATAGTTGAATTTTAAAGAAGATGATGGTTTCCCTACTACTGATGCAAACATTGTGAAATGTGCTGTCAGTCTTCCTATAAAGAAAACTGTCATTATCTTTCTTGGCGCTTCTTAAAAACAAGGTCATTAAAAATAGCTAGAAATATCAATATCATTTTTTCCATTTATATTCCATTTGTAAAAAAAATCTTTTTTTCTTTTTTTCTTGAAATCATAGTCATTCTAAATGAGAAAAGAAACCAAATCAAAAGTAAATGTGAGTGTGGGACATTCTGTCTTGGCTATTTATATCCAAATATGATATGGGTAGTCCTCAACTTATGACTACAATTGGGACAAGAACTTCTGTCATAAATCACTGTGGGCATAAGTCAGAGTCAGATCTGATTTTATGACCATTTTACAGGGGTTGTAAAGTGAATCCAGCTTTTCCCAATGGTATTGGCAGAAAAAAAATCACATGACCACAGAATGCTGTAAATGTGAGCTGGTGCCCAAAT